CCTTACCGGTCATCTTTAAAAAAAAAAAAAAAAAAAATATGACCGGTAAGGGGATCTTAACCCTTGGCTTGGTGTTATCAGCACCACACTCTCCAAAATGAGCCACGGCTGGCCCTCATAATGACAGGTTCAGATCCCTATATAGGGATGGCCGAGCGTGGTGCTGACACCACCAAGTCAAGGCTTAGGATCAAAAAACAACAAAAAACAAACAAACAAAAAATATTATGATCAATCTGATGAATGAGTTATAAAATACTATCTAGGGTCCGAAGCCTGCTGGGATATAAGATGAGAACATTTTCTTTGTGTGCTTTGCAAATTGGTTTCACAAAGCAATTTTAACTTGTTCTGATAAATGACAGTATCTAAGAACAAAATTGTGGCCTCACAAGGTCTCAACTTTGGAGAGCAATAATCTTTTAGGTAGGTTTGTTAGAAAAAAAATGTCTCAGCTGGTTAACTTAGTTGGTTAAAACATGGTGTTGATAACACCAAGGTCCAGGGTTCAATCCCTGTACTGACCAGCTGCAAAAAAAAAAAAAAAAAAAAGGAAGGAAAAAAAAAAGAAAAGAAAGAAAATGTTTCATAAAGATGATACCCTAAGAATAAAAAAAAAAAAAATACCCTGAAAATAAAAAAGGTTTAACCCTTATGAACTTCATACTAGTTAATATTTGTTAACCACTTACCATGTTACACCTACAATGCCAACTGTATTGAGCATTAAATGATATAATACATGAGGAAAGTACCAAAAATATTATTTCCCTTTTGCAGATGAAGAGACTAAGGCCCAAATCAGAGCTGAAACTCAAAATCTGGTGTAACTATAAATTTTATTCTCTTAATCACATTATGCTACACAGCCAGAAGAGATTAACCAAAACCAGTAAAGTTAAACCCATCTCTTTTTAAGCCTTCATATTCCCAAACCTTATGCTCGTAGGCTCTGATTTTTTTTTAAGTCAGTCAAATTTAGCAGTGGGGGGTTGTATACCAACTTTAGTGGAACTACTGTCAATAAGTTCCAATAACCCACTAGCACCAGATCAGCCATGTAGGCTCTGAGCTTGAAGTTCTTTTAGTCCTTACTTTTTCATGTGAGATCTCCATGCTCCTTGGTTTCTATTGAGGGATAATGGAAAAAGCAAAAAAAGAAAGATTGCAAAGTGAGCTCTCCTTTCCAACCTTCTTTTTTTTTTTTAAAAGATGACTGGTAAGGGGATCTTAACACTTGACTTGGTGTTGTCAGCACCACGCTCATGCAGTGAGCCAACCGGCCATCCCTATATGGGATCCGAACCCGTGGCCTTGGTGTTATCAGCATCACACTCTACCGAGTGAGCCACAGGCCGGCTCCTCCTTTCCAACCTTCTAATCCTCCAATCA